TGTTCTTTTTCTATTGTACAACACTGGTCTAAATCTTCAAAGCAACTCAGTGGTGCAGGACTATTATTTGTTACCCTAATCTCACAGATGGAGGGACCTAATACAGCAGATGCCACCTATGTCCAACCCCATGATATCATCTCACTCCTTCTCAGGGTCTGCTGTAGTTTGGGTGAACAGAATACATACTGAGAGCTTCCTACCTCAAAAACTTGCATCCTTTTACCTCAAGAGTGTGTGTGGGGGGGGTGTTGAGTTAGTGCTTCCAGTAACAACACCCAACCAATGGGAGTGTAAGGATTGTTGGGCAAATGCCCCACATTCTTCACCCCAGGTGAAGCTTGCTCTGCATTATCTCTCAGAGGGTCTCCAGTAAGATTAAACTGCAGGTCCATGAAGTTTATCACTGGGATGCATGGATGGCACATAAAAAATCAATTAGTGTGATACACTACATTAATAAGGACAAAATCATATGATCATCTGAATAGATGCAGAAGAAGTACTTGACAAAATTCAACACCCTTTTAGCTGGGCATGGTGGTGCACACCTGTAATCCTAGCAACTAGGGAGGCTGAGGCAGAAAGATTGCAAGTTTGACGCCAGCCTCGGCAACTCGGCAAGGCTCTAAGCAACTTAGTGAGAACCTATCTCAAAATAAAAAAAATTAAAAGGCCTGGGAATATGGCCTAGTGGTAAATGCCTGTAGGCTCAATCCTCAGTATAAAAAAAGAAAGGAAGGAAGGAGGGAAGGAAGGAAGAAAGGGAAAAAATCAACACTCTTTCATGAAAAAATTTCTCAGTAGACTTAGAAGAAAAATACATCAATATATTAGAAGGAAAACACACCAACATATATGAAAAGTTCCCAGCTAACATCATAATCAATGTTTTTTTCTTTTTTAATGAAAGCTTCCTCTAAAATCAGGAACACGGCAAAGATGCCCACTCTCAACACTTCTGTGTTGAACAGACTTAGCAATGGAAGTCCTAGCCAGAGCAATTAGGCAAGAAAAAGAATAAAAGATCCAAATCATAGAAGTTAAATTGTCCCTGTTTGCTAATGATGTGATTTCTTCTATATAGGAAACTTGTAAGTCTCCATTTTAAAAAGAAAGCTGTTAAAATTAATAAATGATTCTGTAAAATTGCAGGATACAAAATCAACCTTAAAAAATCAAGTGTAAATTACTATGTGTGTGTGTGTGTGTGTGTGTGTAATCCACTGTGTTTCTAAAGCTCCCTATGGCTTCAAACCCATGTCAAAAAAAAAAAAAAATCCACTGTGCTTCCCCATACTAACAGTGAACTATCTGTAAAGGAAATTAGGATATGAAGCCCCAGTTGCTTAGAGGTAATTATGTTCCTCCTTCCCATTACTCACTCCTCTACCCCCTCATTGCGAACCTGGGATCCCCTTCCAGTTAAATCACTTGCATTCAAATGCTTGTCTCAGATTCTGCTCTTGGAAGATCACACAGGAAAGCATGAATGTGCAGAGAGTGAAAGACATTCAGAGGTCAAATAAATAGTAAGAGACAGACTGGCAATTTGATCCCAGGCCTCTGACATCATATCCTACTCTCAAAAGCTGCCTCTCATGAAGTAGTCACAAAGTTCCCCACGCAGGAGGCTGGACACTCATCTCAAATCTGCCCACCCTTGGAGCTGACCCCAGAGCAGAAAATCCCTTCTCTGGATTCACATGATTCTCTGATACCAAGAGGCTGAGCAGAACCATCCCCTAAAGGCCTAGAACAGAACCCACCTGGCCTGCCCAAGCAATTCCCTCAGCCAGAGGGAAGCCAGGACTGCCAGCCAGTGCCTTGAAGGGCACTCGTCTTTGGACCAAGAGGACATAGCATCTGAGACCTGGAGAGGCCACAGGTGGCTAAGGTCCAGGAAAAAAACTTACTTACCTTATTCATTTAATGAGTTCACTGTGTGCCAAACACTGTTCTAAATGCATATTGTGTATCTATACTTATAACTACACACACACACACACACACACACTTTACTTATTCATTTATTTAGGATTAAGAAACTTGCCAAAGTCACACAGCTCCTAAGTGTCACGTGTACAATTCAAACCCAAGCAGTCTGGCTCCGGATCATTCCTGAATCAACTGCCAGCTATTCACTCTGGGCTCCTCCTTAGATTGGAGGGAGCCTCCGGCATGAACTTCTGCCAGTCCTCCACAGATCCCCCTTGGAGGGAAGGACTGGCAGGAAAAGGCCCTTGGAGACTGAGAAACAGTAGGCTCCAGAAGACAGACTGTAATAGCCTGAAAACAACCTCCCCTCCCTGCACCTCTCTGCCTTTGGACAAGGATGGTGTAATCCACATAGTCACTCAGCCTCAGTGTATGTTTGTATTCCCAGCCTCATTCCCAAAATGATTTGAGAGGGCTCCAGAAGACAGATGCAATGTATCTCTGCCTTAAAGATGACAGATGGAGAGCAGGCCTGAAGAATCCCAAGCAAACACAGCCAGCCAGGGCTCATGGGTGACCTGGCCTGTGCCTGATTTACAGACTCAAGGGAGGCTTTACTACTTCACCTGAGCTTTTTTTTTTTTTCTTTTTCTTTTTCTCTTTTTTTTTAGACAAGGTCTTGCTAAGGTCCCTGGGCTGGCCTCAAACTTCCAATTCTCCTGCCTCAGCCTGTTAAGTAGTTGGGAATGAAGGTGTGCACCGCATGTCCAGATACTTTCCCCAGTTTTAAAAGTGAAATTCCCTTGTCTTGGGAAACTCCTCAGAGACAGACAACTGGGAGAGCTGATCATCCTCATTACACAGAATGTAAGCCACAAATTCTCCTTCCTTGGAGAAGCCTAAAAATTTGGCTTGGAGCTTCCTAGCAGCCAAGCAAGCCAAAGAGGGAAATATCATATGTTATAAAAGTTTAGTGTGTGTAACAGCACAACCCAATGATAGAAATGTGCCGTACTGTCCAATATGGCACTTTCTAGTCACAAGTCTCAAGAACACCTAAAATAAGGCTACTGAAGAACCAAATTTTTCTTTTCTTTTCTTTTCTTTTTTTTTCTGTGTGTGTCTATGGTATGGTGTGGTATGTGTGTGGTTCTGGGGATCGAAACCAGGGTCATATGCCAGCAATACACTACCACTGAGCCACAACCCCAGCCCCTATTTTATTTTACTTATATTTAAATGTCAATAGCTCCACACGACTAATGGTGACTGCATGGAACAGCACAGCTGTATTAGAAAAAAAAAAAAAAAAACTAGATGTCCAGGAAGAGCCTCTTTCTTAATATTGAAGCCTAAGGAATTTCTCCCATGACTTATCACCCTTCAAGAGACTATAAAAGGAGCTTCCCTGGGTGCTTTTCTTTCCTCATGTTTATAAAAGCTGGCACTTCTCAGCACTTGGGTGTACTTAACTATGTGCTGAGCACGGTCAAAACCCTTTGCATGCAGACCACCATGGTGCATATCTGTAATCCCAGTGACTTGGGAGGCTGAGACAGGAGGATCAGTGAGTTTGAGGGCAGCCTCAATGACTTTAGTGAGACCCTTAGCACCTTAGAGAGACTCTAGCTCAAAAGTAAAAATGTAAAGAGCTGTGGGGGTATAGCTCAGTGTCAAAGAACCCCTGGGTTCAATCCTCAGTACCAAAACAAACAGACCAAAAAAAAAAAAAAAAACACTTTCATATGTTAAATCTCTTCAATTTTCAAAACTACCCTAGAAGATAGGCACTTTCACTGTCGGCAGGGAGAAGGCTCCTCCTAGGACCCCCCTCCTTTCCTGGCCTGAAAGAAGGGCATATAGCATTCCCCTATGCCCTGGGAGAGACAGGAGCCTGGCAGGTGGAAAGAGAGAAGGGGTTCCAGATGCCCCCACTACCACCCCCCAGGTGACGGTGCATGACTAATGTCGACTCCATGGAAAAAGTGAGCAACATCTGGCATCATCCACTGGCCCCAGAGGGCATTTGGGTCGTCAGAAGGAAGACCACGTCTGCAAGGTAACACAACACACCAGACCAGCACACCCTTAGACAGGAGCCGGCCAAGCCTCCCACCTGAGACAAAACCCTCTTTCCTATTTGCTGTGGATAATACCTTGATGTCCCTCCACACTGGCCCCTGTGCAGGATCCTGAAGGCTGCCAGGTCCCTGGGGCTCCAGGCAGCCAAGAGGAGGCAGGTGTGATTCTCCCCACCCCCATCCTGTCAGAGACTGGGAAGCTGATGACTCCAGGGTCAGAAATAACCCCACAGTCAGCTCCCACACGCCTCCCCTCCCCTCCCCTCCCCTCCCCTCCATTCCCGGGAAGTCTGGGCCCTGAGTCAGAGGGAAGAGTTCCGAAGTAGACAAGGACCCGGATGATGGGGTATGGAGACCACAGAACTCTTTCGTAGGATTCTTTGGAAAATCAGGCCTAGCAAAGAGCTGAGGCCTGGTCATTCAGACGGTTCCCTCAGTCTGCTTCAGTCAAGGCTGTGGGGCATGAGGAGGAATGGATAAGAGAGGGGAAAGTTTTGGGGAACCCAGGAGAAAAAGAGCTGGGCCTTATTCTCAGAGGGGTTCCTGCTGGGGACAGAGAAGCCCGGCCCTGCCCATTGGGGAGCCTCCAGTCTCCTGGCATGGTGGCACACAGCAAGAGTCAGAGACCAGTCCAGCATAAAGACAGGAGGCTCAGAGGATGAAGGAGCAGGCCCACCCCAGTATCAAATGCTCCTTCTTATTCATTCCTTCAAAATAGTCTGGACACCCCCATCCCACACCACAGTTGAGTCACTGACTGTCCCCAATTCTCAGAGAGGACTTTAGATGAATGGAGCTCTCTCCATTCCCTCTGTTGCCCCTCCCCAACCCAAAAGACATGTAACTGATTCCCCGGGATGGCAGAGTGACTTCCACAAGCCCTAAAAATAGCGGCACCACTTAATAGTCTGAACATAGCCTCCCTCGCCCGCCCCCTCTCCGGCCCACCCCCTAACCAGCAAAATAAAGGCAGCTGCTGGGGCTGGCAGAGAACAGAGACCCAGAGACAGGCAGTGAGAAGGTAGCTGACCAAGCCACAGAACAGAACCAACCCCACCGAGAATCTCCAGCAGGACGACAGACGCTTAGGCCACACCTGCTACAGACCCCAAACACCCCACCAGCCAAGCCGGACCCTTGGTAAGTAATCTCCCTTCTTGTCAAGAACCAGCCATGCTGGTTCTTGAGGCTGGGGCCCTCTGCACCCTGTGCAATGTGTGTATCGGGGTGGAACCCAGGAGAGAGGGAGGTTGAATGGTAAGAACAGGTGTTGGTGAGTGGAAGAGTTTCTGAGATAAAGAATCCACAAAGAAGGTAACATGAGTTTGTAGGAGTCCCACAGGAGAGCTCAGAGTGGCTGCCACAGGCCTAGGCTGGCCAAGGGGACAGGCTTTTGCCTGGTGCAATTCAGAAAGGCTTCCAGGAGATGGCCTGGAATTTTTTTTTTTTTGGGGGGGGGTTGTGTGTGGGGTGCTGGGGATTGAACCCAGGGCCTTGTGCATGTGAGCCAAGCTCTCTACCAACTGAGCCATATCCCCAGGCCTGGAATTTCGGTTTTTAAAATACAGGTATGGAGCTCCTCAGGTTTCAAGGATTCCTCTCAGGGAAGCCTCTGGAAGTCCCAAAATCTGGAGGAAAAAGTGACAGAAGAGACCTGGGAAGGAGCCGGGCAGAGTAGAGACAGTAGATTAGGCCAGAAATGTAGCCTAGGATGGGCCCCATGCCCAGCTGTTGTGGGTGAAAGTCTTGGCATATCTAGTACCAGCGATATCTCCCTAGGACTGGCCTGAGTTCAGCTCCCCACATATAATGTCCTTGAACCCGGGAGGGATGCCTGTAACCTAGGCCATCATCTTGACTTGTGGGAAAGTCCTCAGGCCAGAGATGGTAGGCATCGGGGCAAGGAGACCGAATCTGAGTCTGCCCAAAGGTATAGAGCAGGCCAGTATGGGCCAAGGATGAGATGGAGACAGAGGTGAGTCATCCCGAGAGGCTGACCCAGCCCCAGGAGCCCAAACTCTGGGACAGTTCTTGGGGCTCACTCTTCCCTAAGCCTGGTCCCAGTTCTGAATTCTGCCCTCCCAGGCATTAGGCCAGACAGGAGTGGAGGTGGGCAGGCCCAGAGTCAGGAAATCTGTGTCAGACTTTGCCACTGCCTTGATGAGCCTCCCTGGACAGCTCCTTTCCCCTCTTTGGGCCTCAATTTTCCCCCTTTGAACTTCTTCATTAGAGGTTAGATTCAATGACCTCGGAGGATTAGCTCTGAGGATTCCTGGACTCTGTGCTATCAGCCTGCGACCCTAGCAGGGATTCTGGAGATTCCTGGGAGTGGGGGTGGGGTAGAGTTGGTGGCCTGTAGATGACATCTGCTCATCTGACATCTGGTGGTGACAGGCTAGAGCAGAGGTGGGGACAGGCATGAATTTGGTTTTGGCAGGAAATCCTTATCACAGCTCAGATACGGAAGGAAACCATGCAGAGGATTGATGAGACTCACGCCACAGGTTTCAGGCCTTATACTCCCTAGGGCTCTCATGCCTTTGGTGAAAAGGCCAGGTGTGGGTGAGGTGGGGCAAGTAGGTCTCAGTTTTCTGTCTCCTCCTTCTGAGGTAGCCATAGGAAGAAGTCCTGTCTCCTACCTGCTGCCAGTGTCCTTGTACCTACCCACACCCCAGGCCCCTTTGGCCAGGGGGAGGTCTCTAGGCTCTAGCACCTGGTTGGCCTGCAGACCAGAGTCCTGGCACCAACTCAGAAGGCAGGAGGCAGGGTCCTCTAGGAACCATGGGTAGTGCAGGAGATGACGTGGGCCACAGGCACCCAGGATCCCCAGTGGTGGAGCCCAAACGTCCCTCCAAGCACAAGGCTCCTATTCCAAGGCCAGGACCTCAACTATATTTAGTACCAAGTGTGGAGCACAGTAGTGGATCAGAGGCAGCAGACGGGGGTACATGCTTCTCATTCTTGGCCTACTGGCCTCTGGGGACTGTCATAACACCTGTCACAAGACAGATAAGACATACATGAGACAGACCAGAAGGGCTTGAGGGGCGGGGATAGAGTGGAGAAAGGTCACACCTTGATAGAAGTTGACTGACATGAAGAGGGAGGGAGAAGAGGAGCCAGCTTTGGGGTCGAAGTGGGTTGAGGGCCTTCAGGGGTTGATCTTAACCTGAGACCCTGCACCCCAGCAGACCTGAAGCTGTGCTTGCTTACACATGATTAGGGAGGGGTCTCCATGAGCACGGGGCAGGCTGTTTCTGCAGAAAGGACCCTGATCCACAGTCTTCCCTCCCTGGAGATGTCACCTTCATATTCTCCTAAGTGGCCTGCTGAGGAATAGAGGGGGGACTATGGCCGATAAGAAAGCTTCACATCCCCTACCCTCTTATTTCTTGGGAATCAAGTCCTAAATTGGGAATCAAGTCCTAGGGACCTCATGCCGGCACTGCCTGCCACTTGTTTGCCAAGATCTGACTCTGGGCCCCAGTTTCCTCATCTTTAATTATAAAGGGTTGGTCTTCATCTCCCTGGGCCTGAGAAAGTTTGGAATTGAGACCCCAGAGGTAAAGGTTGGGTAGGTTCTAATCAAAGTGCTCAGCACGCCCTCTAGTGTTCTTTGTACGAATTTCCTCTCGATGAGAAATCAGTCACCCTTTTAGGGACCTACCTCTTGAGACTCCTCAGTCAAGATTACCCCAGGTCACTCACTTGAAAGTCTAGCAAAAAAAAAAAAAAAAAAACCAAAACAAACTAATTTGGACAAAGGAAGGCAAGGATGGGCACGTCCAGTTTTTCCGCTGGAGATGTGGGTAGGCATCCCTTGTGGGGCCAAAGGAAAGACCCTCGGTCCCCCTAGCAAGTCAGGGAATCAGGGACCAACCTTGATGGACGGGTCCAAATGTCCTAAGTTCATGACTTTTCACACACCAGCCAAAGTGGACCCTGTGCCAGGATGACATAGAGAGGGAGAGAGTCTCTAAGTAAATGTCACCCAGAGCTACTCAGACCCTGGGCCTTCCTCCCTGCCGTTTGTCCCAGCAACTGGACCCCACCCCAAGTGAATCCCCCAACCACATCTTCATCTCTGCCCCTTCTCCTCAGAAGAATGGCCAACGCGCAGACACAGGCGGCCCCCACACCAACCATCCCAATGGCGACTACAGAGGACCTATCCCTCCCTCCACCCCAGGTCCTGGAGGATCTGCCACCACCGCCACCCAAGGAGTCCTTCTCTAAGTTCCACCAGCAGCGGCAAGCTGGAGAGCTCCGCCGCCTCTACAGGCACATCCACCCTGAGCTCCGCAAAAACTTGGCCGAGGCCGTGGCCGAGGACCTGGCTGAGGTCCTGGGCTCTGAGGAGCCCACGGAGGGTGATGTCCAGTGCATGCGCTGGATCTTTGAGAACTGGCGGCTGGATGCCATTGGCGATCATGAGAAGCCAGCTGCCAAAGAGCCTGTGCCAGGCGGAGACGTCCAGGCCACTTCCCGAAAGTTTGAGGAAGGATCCTTTGCCAACAGCACAGAGCGGGAGCCAGGAGGACCCCGGCCATCAGGAGGTGATGTTCGTGCAGCCCGGTGGCTCTTTGAGACCAAGCCACTAGATGAGCTGGGGGGCCAAGAGGAGACAACAGAGCCTACTGTGAGGGAACCTGCGGCCAGTGGAGATGTGAAGGGTACTAAGATGCTCTTTGAGACGCGGCCGCTGGACCGCCTGGGCTCCCGCCCCTCCATCCAAGAGCAGAGCCCCTTGGAGCTGCGCTCAGAGATCCAGGAGCTGAAGGGCGATGTGAAGAAAACCGTGAAGCTGTTCCAAACAGAGCCACTGTGTGCTATCCAGGATGCAGAAGGGGCCATCCATGAGGTCAAGGCCGCATGTCGAGAAGAGATCCAAAGCAACGCAGTGAGGTCTGCCCGCTGGCTCTTTGAGACACGACCTCTGGATGCCTTCAACCAAGACCCCAGCCAGGTGCGGGTAATCCGGGGGATCTCCCTAGAGGAGGGGGCACGGCCCGATGTCAGTGCAACACGTTGGATCTTTGAGACGCAGCCCCTGGATGCCATCCGGGAGATCTTGGTGAATGAGAAGGACTTCCAGCCATCCCCAGACCTTATTCCTCCTGGCCCAGATGTTCAGCAGCAGCGGCATCTGTTTGAGACACGAGCCCTGGACACTCTGAAGGGGGAAGAGGAGGCTGGAGCAGAGGCTCCACCTAAGGAAGAGGTGGTCCCTGGTGATGTTCGCTCCACCCTGTGGCTATTTGAGACAAAACCTCTGGACACTCTCAGAGACAAGGTCCAAGTGGGTCACCTGCAGCGGGTGGGCCACCAGGAGGGTGAAGGACTCATGTGTGAGCATCTACCCAATGATGGCTCCTCAGCACTGTCTCTGTCTCAGGGTGTGCCCCAGAGAGATGGGGTGAAGGGGGATGTGAAGACCTTCAAAAACCTTTTTGAGACCCTTCCCCTAGATAGTATTGGACAGGGTGAGCCTTTGGTCCCAGATAGTGCAAACGGATCAGAAACAACTGATTCTGCTAGACAGTCCCAGGGTGTAGGATCCCCAGTATATGCCATGCAGGACATCAAGGGTCGCCTCCATGCCCTGACCTCTGTCAGCAGAGAGCAGGTAGTGGGAGGTGATGTGAAGGGCTACCGATGGATGTTTGAGACACGGCCTCTAGATCAGCTGGGTCGAAGCCCTAGTACCATTGATGTAGTACGAGGCATCACCCGGCAGGAAGTGGTGGCTGGGGACGTTGGCACTGCTCGGTGGCTTTTTGAGACCCAGCCCCTGGAGATGATCCACCAGCGGGAACAGCAAGAACGACTGGAAGAGGAGAGAAAGAATCAAGAAGGCCCCAAGTCTGAGACTCCCCCAAAGGGCGATGTGCAGACCATCCGGTGGTTGTTTGAGACATGCCCAATGAGTGAGCTGGCAGAGAAGCAGGGGTCAGAGGTCACAGATCCCACAACCAAGGCTGAGGCCCGGTCCTGCACCTGGATGTTCAAGCCTCCACCCCTGGACCAGGCAGAGGGCTCCAGGGAGAAGCACCTGCAGGTCAGTCAGGTCCAGGCTGGGGAAAGACAGACAGATGGACATGTCTTTGAGACTGAACCTCTACAAGCCTCTGCAGGCCGTCCCTGTGGAAGAGGACCTGTGCGATACTGCAGCCGGGTGGAGATCCCTTCAGGACAGGTGTCTCGTCAGAAGGAGGTTTTCCAGGCCCTGGAGTCAGGGAAGAGAGAAGATCAGGGGGTCAAGATAACCCCGGGCCCCATCGCCGAAGGTTCTGTACACAAGTTCACCTGGCTCTTCGAGAATTGCCCCATGGGCTCCCTGGCAGCTGAGAGCATCCGAGGGGGCAATCTCCAGGAGGAGCAGCCCGGGAGACCCTCAGAAAATGGGATGCTAGAGAAGCAAGAGACTGCAGCAGAGTTGACCCTGAGGACACTGCATGCCACACCTGGCATCCTGCACCATGGGGGCATCCTCATGGAGACCCGAGGGCCAGGGGACCTCTGCCTTGCTAAGTACATGCTCCCCAGCCCAGGGCAGGGTCATCCTCACATACGGAAGGAGGAGCTGGTGTCTGGCGAGCTTCCCAGGATTGTCCGCCAAGTGTTGCGCCGGCCAGACATTGACCAGCAAGGACTGTTGGTACAGCAGGACCCAACTGGCCAGCTTCGGCTCCAGCCACTGAGGCTGCCAGCTCCTGGCAACGGTGGGAATATTGAAGACCTGGATCCCGAGCTCCAGCAACTGCTGGCTTGTAGCCTCGGGGCCTCTGTGACAAGGACTGGGCTGGTGATGCAGGAGACAGAGCAGGGCCTAGTCTCTCTGACGGCCTACTCCCTACAGCCCCAGCTACCCAGCAGGGCCCCCGAAAGGAGAAGTGTGCAGTTGCTGGCCAGCTGCATAGACAAAGGAGACCTGAGTGGCCTGCACGACCTTCGGTGGGAGCCACCGGCTGACCCAAGTCCAGTGCCAGCCAGCGAGGGGGCCCAGAAGCTTCCCCCAACTGACAACATCATTCGTGTTCCTCCACTGGACCCCAGCATGGGGGTGGGACATCCCAGAGGCCTGCCTCAGGCCATTGGAAAGGCAATCCCTCTGGCTGGGGAAACTGCCACCCCAACCCCATTGCAGGATGCAAAGAAACAAGAAGACAGCCATCACACTGGGCAGAAAGGAATGGCAGCCATGGGAAAGTCAGGAGGAGCCATGGCTACCCCACCAGGGCCTGGGACCCCAGACCTACAGGCAGCCATGCAGAGTTTGCGGATGGAAACAGCCAAGGCCCAGAGTCTGCACCAGCAAGTTCTGAACAAGCACAAACAGGCCTCCGCCCCTGCAGCCACCTCCGCACCCGTCCAAGATGGTCTCCTGAAAGCACCAGCCACTGCCACTGGGGCCACCCAGAGCAACAGCAGGCCCATGGCCAGAGGTGACTCCAGGAACCCGGCAACTCCCAGAAAGGTCAGTGGGGAAGAGAAAGCACTACCTAGAGGGCTGCCTGAGGGGTGGGTGACGATTCAGGATGGCGTCTACACTGCTCACCCTGTGAGGACTTTTGAACCACCCAGGGGTGTCCAACCTTCTGAGAAGGAACCCCAACCAAGGGACAGGCAGACTGTCCTCTCAGCCCAAGCTCCCAGCCCACTCCAGGGAGGCCCAGGTCAGAGTCCTGGGCCAGGGCAGAAGGAGCCTGGAAGCCACACACAGAGAACCTGGGAATCTCCTGGGAATCTCCAATTCTGCTCAGGGGGCCTCCAAGCTGCAAAGACCACCCTAAAGACTGCCCCTTTAGCCCACAACACTCTGCCCTCTGGGGTCCATGCTGCAGGTGCCAACCGGCACTCCCATAATGCCTCTGTTCCTCCTCCTCCTACTCTCCCAGCTGCTGTGACGGGACCTGACTTCTCAGCCCAAGCCCGCCATGATGAAGACTCCACCCAACAGACCTCCAAGCCCTTGCAGGACTCCCTTCACATCCACAGCAGCCCTGCTGGCCAGAAAACCTCTGGGGGGTCACAGACAAAGGCCCCCAAATTGGAGCCTGCCATTACTCCAAGGAAGAAACCCCCGGTGCCCCCCAAACCTGCACACCTAGCCCAGACCCACCCTCCTCAGAGGCTGCCCAAGCCTTCAGCTCTCTCTCCCAACTTCTCCTTGCAGACGGGACAACAAAAATACAAACCAGGTGAGACAGAAGCAGCCATTCCTCAGCAGGCCAAAATTCCCACCGCCTCAGGCCAGGGCTGCATGCCTCTGGTTGTATGCTCCAGTGGACAGAGCCATCCTGACCCCCAACACAGCCTCAGCACTGTGGCCTCCAGACCCACCAAGGATCATGCTGCTGGCAGCAATGTCCAGAGCCCTGAGCCCCATAAGTTCAATGCTCTCAGTAATGACTGCACCTCACCGCAGCAGGACTCCAGTCCCCCAAGAGAGCAGCCCATGGAATGTTCCAAGCAAGGAGCCCCTGAGAACCCTCAGATTCTGCAGGGAAGCCAGCAAGAGCTCCAGGGCCTCCTGAGCCAGGTACAAGCTCTGGAGAAGGAAGCAGCAAGCAGCGTGGATGTGCGTGCCCTGAAGAGGCTCTTTGAGACTATGCCCCAGCTTGGAGAGGCTGCCTCTCAGGTCTCTGATGCTCCCTGCAAACCAGAGGTCTCGGTGGAGCAGGCCTTTGGGGAACTGACACGGGTCAGCACAGAGGTTGCTCGCCTGAAGGAACAGACCCTGGCCAGGCTGCTGGACATTGAAGAAGCTGTACACAAAGCCCTCAGCTCTATGTCTAGCCTGCAGCCAGAGGTGAACACCAGGAACCATTCCCAAGGACCCCACAAAGATCCCAGTACCCAAAAGGTCAGTGTCTTAGCCAGTAGTAGAGCCAGGCCCAGTGACTTAGACCAGGAGGTCAAAGATCCAATTGAAGTCAAGAGCCAAGCCAAGGTGGAATGCCATACTGAGGACCAGGGTCAAGCCAATATCACAAATCACACAGAGGCCAGAGGTCAGGTTGCTTCAGCTGCTTCTCCTACCAGGAGGCTGGAGACATTGAGAGAAGATTCAGGCCTCCCTCGAGTCTTACCTTTCAGCAGAGATTCACCCTCCTCCCCAACCTTCATCTCCATCCAATCAGCCACACGGAAGCTTCCAGAGGCTTCCAGCCCTAAAGGCAGCCATGACGTCTCAGGGAAAAGCATACACTTGGCTCAGGACATAGGACAGACCCAACTTCACCAGGAAAGTGCCCAGGACCTGGCTAGGAAAAAGGAAGTGGTCACACAGTGCTCTGAGCAGCCCAAGCCTACGCCCACCTCAGAGCGCCCCCTGCCCACAGAGCGGCAAAAGAGTGTCCTGGAGTTGCAGACTGTGCCGGGCGGTTCCCAGTGCTATGGAGCCACAAGAACCGTGACGGAACAGTATGAGGAGGTAGACCAGTTTGGGAACACAGTCCTTGCATCCTCCACTGTAGTCACTGAGCAGGCAGAACCGCTCAGCTGTCCCCACCTGGGGGTCCATGCCTCCCCCTTGCTGAGGCAGTTCCTGCACAGCCCAGCTGGGTTCAACAGTGGCCTAGAAGAAGCTGAGATGGCGTGGATGCCCTACGGCCACTCCTAGCCAGCTGCTCACTGAGCACCTTCACCTCCCACCCATCACTTGGGTGCCTTCTTCCAGGGCCCCAGGAGTAAGATGGGTCCCTCCCTCCTGCACACATAGGGAGAGGACCAAGAAGAAAGGGCATCTCTAAGGATTGTTGAGGACTATTTCTCTTTTGTCAGTTCCATCAGTATGCTCAATTCTTGCAAATAAAGGGGAAGAAAGGTTAAAAAGAGGCCCACTAAGTAACAGAGGCACGGGGTGAAGACCGCCAGCCCCACTTGTAGAAGATGTAGCATGTACACATGCTGCTCACACAGACCCGGCCCAAGCTTTGACCTGTGGTCATCTGCACGTCATTGTCTACAGAGTTGGAACCCCCAGCCTTTCTTTCTTTTATTAGGATTCTGAATGTTCTTAGCCTTCTGCTCCTTAATCCCTGGAGAAAACCTAACTGGTCACAGCACTGGTCTCTGTTAGGAATTGGTCTGAGAGACCCAAAAGCACCTGGCCTCCAGTCCCTCCTTCACCACCTTCATCATTCATCTGGTCATCCTCGTGACCCAAAGGTCACGTGAAAAGAGTTCGAAATCAACAGGGCCCTTAGGATCCAAATGCACTGTCTTTCTCTGCCCCCTCCTGCCCACTGCCCCTCTTCATCCCAAATGGGAAAGATTCTGTCTGAATAAACCAAAGCTTGATTCTCTACTCAGTGTGTGTCTGTTTGTGTGCATCTGTTCAAGACTCTGTGTTCACACTAAGGGAAAAACAGCCCCAACCTCCAGATGTCCAGTTTTTCTAGTAGCAGCTGCATTGAAGGCTCTACCCTATCCCTTGTTCTTGCCCCCAACACACACATTTGCCCTCTCTACCTCTGGCTTCCCCTCCTAGATGTTCTTGGACATCATTGGGGCACAGGGGAGGGGGTCCTACAATCCTGCTCCAAAATGGGAGAGCAGCCCTGTCACCCCACCAGGTACAGGAAGGTAGGAAGACCTCACATCAGGAGAATTCCCATGCCCAAGTTGGCTGGGCCACTGCCTATTCATGCCAGGTACAGTGTGCCAAGCAGTGAGGAAAGGGGTGTTCAGATTCTAACCTGGAAAACTGGAATGATTTGGTGAAGGCCACTTTTCACTCTGTCCTTCAAAAAGCACTGAGCATCTTCCTTATGCCAGGTCTGTTGTAGGTAGTAGGAACACAGAAGCAAGGTCCAATAGGGTCCTCCTCTCAGGAAACCAACTTTTGAGAATGAGGAGATGGACAGACAAGAAAAATCAGACCAGAAACAGAGTGATGTGCCTGACTGTGCTGCCTTCCCACTCTGGGGAAACAATCTTAATACATGGTGATGTGATGATGACCAGGAATTTCCTTAGAGCGAGTGGCCCATGCAGACCCTCCTAAGGAAAAACATCTCATTTCAGATCTGAATACAAAGAGCCAGCTAGTGAAAACCAGAGGGGAAAGCACACTAGACACAGAGAAAAGAGCTTGCAAAGACCCAGAGGTGGGATAAGGTGGGTTTTCTGGATCCTCTTCCATAGAAAGGGGTGTTAACAACTAGAGTTGCTCCTCACAAGCTTGAGCAAGAATTTGCACATACTGTGCTTCAGCTGAATATGCAGGTTCCCACCTTACCTCCAGTCCAGGGCTCAGCCCTCCATACCTGTTACTGGTCCCTCAGTGCCTGCTCAGCTAGTATGGGTGGGCTTCCCTGGAGCAAGAGAACTCCAATCTGGAAGGAACCCATCCCCTGTGAGAGACTGATGTATAAGGAACAATCAATATCAAATCTACCTACCTGGACCTGGTATCCCCATATTGCTGAGTCCCTTACCACATCTCTCTCCCCTGCGTTTCATAGGATCTGATTACAGAATCCAGCAGCTGAAAGAATGAGTGTTCTCCTCAGTGTTCTCATGTGTGTAATAGGTGCAATACCATAGTACCTACGACGCTGAGGATTAAGAGAATTAATAGGTGTAAAGTACATGAAGATATACCTGACATCTGGACAAAGACATTCATTTTTAGTATTGTAGTAATTATTATTTAATAATCTCCTTTCTCACCTCCAGGGGGGGTCCCTTGCCTTGTTCATCTTAGTATCTGTAATGTTTATCACAAGTTCCTAGAAGGCACTCCATACATGTCAAATAAATGAATGCATAAGTGAATGAAATGATCGAGTACGTCTGCAGATTCGTCCCACTAACATTTATTAGCATTTCATGCCAGATTCTGCTCAGTGCTAAAAATAGTGGAGAACAAGACAGAATTTATCCTTGACCTCATGGAACTTTGGTTTAAAGAGAGAAGACAACATATAAACAGATTAGATAGATTTGCAAGGGAGAAATACTGTGAATAAAAAAAATAAATAAACAAGATCAGCCCACAGGGCAAAGGATGGTAGTTATTTTAACGTGGGTGGTCTGGAAGGCATCTTTTCAGAGGTCATCTGAATGACAGAGGAGTCCGCCTGATTCGCAGGATGTGGCGGTCAGGCAGGAAGAGAGGTAGGTGGTGGATGATGAATGCACCGGCGGCAGCAGCCGAGCAGCAGCCGCTCAGCGGGGCCCCTCCCAGGGCCCAGCACACCTGCCTCCACACCTGCCGCCCAGGCTGAGGCTCCGCCTCTCTCCCGCCCGGGAAGGGGCGGGTCGGAAGGCGGAGTACGCCGTGTCCAGACCCGCCCCCGGAGCCCGTGAGGCTTGTTCCCACCGGCCGTCGCCATGGTGACGGTGACGTCACGGGGCCCGCAGAGTTCGGAACGTTCCGGCGGCGGCGGCGGCGGCGGTTGCCAGGAAACGCCCGGCAGGCGCACCGCCAGGGTCTGGCTCCGCGCGCAGACGCCGGACGCCAGGACGCGCCGTCCCCGCCGGCCCGTGCTCCGAGCCTCCCTCCTGGATTCCAGAAGGATGCCGGGTTCCGCTCCTCACCCACGCCTCGGCCCCGCCCAGGACCGACCTGCTGGGCAGGGCTCCGCCTCCCTCCTTGGTACAGTGTCCTGGCCTCTGTCGGGACTTTGTCCAGCAGCCCCATCGTCATCGCCATCACCCTGCTTCAGGTCACCATCCACCTTTCCCTTTCCTGGGCGGGCAGAGGGGCAGGCACTGCTTTCGCCTTCCGAGTGGTCCTCTTTCCTTTGCCGGTCTGTCCTTACAGTTTGTCCACTACCAAGCAGCCAGAATTCTTATTTCAGATCAGGTCACTCCTGCATAATAACCTTCAACGGCTTCCCAGTTCACTTAGTCTGGAATCTAAACTCTCAATGGCCTGTGAAGCCAGAATGGCTTACCTCTCCAACTTGGGTACCTGTGCTCTCCTCCTCACCTGTCTCCTCCTAGTCACGCTGACTTTCTTAAGCTTCACAGAACATACAAGATAATTTCTGCCTCAGGGACTTTGCACTTGCTTTATCCTCCTCCTGGAGGTCTCTGCTAGATCTTTTTTTTTTTAACCTTTATTTTACTTATTTATTTTTATGTGGTGCTGAGGATCCCAGCGCCTTGCTAGGGAAGCGCTGTACCGCTGAGCCACAATCCCAACCCCCCTCTTCTAGATCTTTAGTGGCTGAGCTTCTCACTCAGATCTCAATTCAAATGTCTCTCCAGAAAGTCCTTTCCTGATCCATCCTTCTCTCTTCCTCTTATCTGGAGAGGGCTTCCTCATAAGTTTCCATGCCATTTCACATTTTCCCTAGGACCCATCCCAACAGAAAATTATCTTGCTCAGTTTTCTTTTTTATAGTTAATGTTGTAGATAACTTTCTGCATAGCAAAACATCCCAAGCTTAGTGGTTTATAGAGCTGATACTTATGAATCTGATTACCCAGGAATTTGGACTGAACATGATGGGGATGCCTTATCTCTGTGCTGTAATGTCTGGGACTTCAGCTAGACACATACACCTATCTATATGACCTGGGCTTCCTTACAGGGTGCAGTCTCCAGGTACTTGGACTTCCAGAGACATGTCTTAACAAGACAGAGACCTCATCACCTTTTGTTACCTAGCCTCAGAAGGCATGAAGAATCACATCTGCTGCACTGCTGGTTTACAAGTAAGACCCAAGACTTCCCAGATTGAAAGAAAGGGGCATTAGATACCAGCTTTTGCTGGGAATGAGGCAAAACCTAGAACATGCAGCTAGCTGTCTTTGTAAAATATCATCTCCACAATCTTCCCCCACTGGAATATCATCTCCATGAAGCACCATCATATTCCCTTTGCCTAAAATGCTGCCAAAGCACATTGTGAGTATTTAATTTTAGAGTGAATAAAGGTTTGTCTTTCAAGGAAGCATTGGAACCCAGCTCTTCTCTCTGTGTTTCCTGCACCAGCCTTTAACTTTGGCCTAGTCCGCTCTGGAGGAAGCCTGGCATTTGTATTATAAGGTAGGAGTCAAGTATAGGGGTTTTGTGGGGGAGATATAGGTCTACAGTTATTGGGGATTGAGAAATATGTGGCCAAATGAGACTTGGAGGTGGTTTTCTACTCAAAGGGATGTTGAAACCCCAGTCCGCTTTTTCCCATTCTGAACTCTGGAAATGCCCAGATGAGGCAGTTTGTCCTCTAGGCTGTGAGAGCAGGAAAGCGAGTGGCCCAAGGTAATGGAGCTTTGGGGAGGTGCACCAGGCAGTAGGGAGGGGCGAGATGCCTATTAGAAGCAACTGCAGTGACCTAGGCAAAAGGCAGCCTGAAGCTGCCCATAAGCCTAAGATTCTCAAATTCTCCCTGCTTTGTTTCTCATGAAGGGTGTTCCATTGGATCATCTCAAAGTCCTTGAGCACTTAATAGTTTCTCCTCCCCTCTTCCTTTTTTCCCTGAGGGGCAGCAGCATCTGCCATTCACCCCAAGCCAGAGAAGACCGCCCAAAGCTTCTCCAGGCCCAGCCCTCTCATATCAGTAGGGGGGCAGCCGGCTGGGGTTGTATCTCAGCGGTACCTAGCATGTAGGAGGCCCTGGGTTTGATCCTCAGCACCACGTAAAAATGAAATAAATAAATAAAATAAAGGAATTGTGTCCAATTACAACTAAAAAATAAAATATATATTTTTTAAATGGGCTCACTGGTTCTTTGGGTTTTCCAAATATCTCTTCCCCTACCCCTCCTTCAATCTTCACTGTTGTTGTGTGTGTTCCTATATTTCAGCAATAGCCTGCAACCTCCAGTGCCACCCCAAACTGTCACTTCTCCAATCCAGCCCTGCAGTGGCTCACCACCTCCATCTTAATCTCCATAATCGTTAGGCCATTTAAGGCCCTTCCTGTAGGCAGCTGCTCTCTGTTTATTACCTCCCCTAAATCACCCCTCCTTTGGCCTTTAATGTTCTATCCACCCTGACTTTGCCCAGGGCCAACTTATCCATTAAGTACATTGGTCATAGTGACTAGGGTCCATCATACTTTTAGGGAACCATGAAAATGTGTTTTGTTTTCTTTTTGTTTTGGGTACTGGTGATTGAACCCAAGGGAGCTTAACCACTGAATCACATTCCTAACCCATCCCCGCTTAATGTTTTAATTTTGAGACAGGGTCTCCCTAAATTGCTTAGAGCCTTGCTAAACTGCAGAGGGTGGCTCGAATTTGCAATCCTCCTGCCTCAGCCTCCCAAATCCCTGGGATTACTGGCGTTTGCTCATTTCAAGAATGGCTTTGAAAATGTTTTAACTTCTTTTAAAACCAGTAGGAGGAGAA